GGGAAATCAACTGTTCTGATCCAGTTATATCCATGGAATGGAGGTACCATGCATGTCAGCCAGCCAATGCTCTTGGATCTATTCCATTTATTATAGGAGCCCAACCTTTTGGCATTGAGGGAAACAGGTTGGCTTTGTGCAACATGATGGAGCCCGCCAGTGGGCAGAACCATGGAGCGGTGGGTACGGCCACAGCAGAAAGTGGGCCTGTCTGGCGTACAACCATGCTTTTCTTAAAAACCCATCCATTCTCTCCACCTCAAGTGGGTTTTCCTTCTTCCTACCCTCTCTGACTTCAACCACCCTTAAAACTCTAGTTTAGTTTTGCCTTACGTATTAAAAATGAGTGGCAGGTGAGAAGCAGGCTGAGAGCTAATGGTACCTCTATGCTAATTAGCAGTTATATGTTCACATCCTTCATATCCTTAACACAGATAACAGAATGGGATGGATCGTGGACCTATAATTCCACTTTGTTGATGAACTTAGGGATGGTGTCATGAAAAATTTAACTTCAAATTGGGATGATGCCCCAAAGCATCATGGGAGGACATGGGCCCCCTCCAGCCATTTTGGACTATAACTCCCATAACTGAATAGCTGGGAGATTATGGGAGCTGTAGTCGAAGCCATCTGGGAGGTGCCAGGTTAAAGTCATGGAAAGAAGAGGCCACAAGCTTCCTATCTCTACCACATCCAGGATGACCTTTATCCATGTCTTGTACCAAGCCACCACTGAGGGCACTATCAGATGCAGACTGGGAAATGGGCATTTTTATGTTGAAAGATGCTAAAATCATGGGCAGAAGTTATTGGGTGCTTTCACAATATCACAGCTGTTGTCCCTAAAGGAGTTCTCAAAGTTTAAAGAACTAGAAATCAGTTACACTTTCCTTTTCAGACGAAAAAGCCCCAAATATTTCCTCATACTTGGAACTCATTCACAAAATGTGACCATGACAGCATTGGAAGGATATTGGGATTCCGTCCAGATAATTAGCAAACCCCCAAATGTTTTCATTTCCTTTGGCAGTTTAGAAATATCCACAAGGATCTTTGCTCTCTTTATTTGGAGACAATCAGAATCAAATATTCCATAAAAAAAAAAAATCTGAGGCTGCAGTGGAAAAAAATGAAATTAACTAAGCATTGGAAAACTGTGCTCAGGATTTACTCTTGATGGCTGATTTGGAAGAGTGTAGATTAAAAAATCAGCATCTTATAATTGGGCAATAATGGCCATCACTAACTATGTTAATTTCATAGAAATAAGCTTCCCCTTCTTTATTTTTTGTTGCAAAAAATTATTACTATTATTATTAATAGTTTTTATTATGTTTTTGTAAATCTTAATACCTTATGTTGTTTCAATACAATGATGTTTACTTGAAGATTATTGACACTCTATTGTTTAGATAACTTAGACTATTGGAAATAAAGAAAAAAGAGGTATTCTATCAATATTAATTATACTTTAGGGTGTTAGTATTACAAGCATAAGATTATTTGATTTTTTAATCCAGATTTGAATATAACATTAGAAAAAAACCCCACTGCAGATTGCATCAAATTATATGTTGTATAATAAAGGTTTCGTTCTTGAGCTGTTTACTGAGTATTACAGTCTCCATTGTACTGTTACTTAATATTTTATTTACATGTTAATAAAAGGAAAAAGTAGATAAGCAAAGCAAATTTAACAAAAATTAAAAAGGAAGGAAGGAAGGAAGGAAGGAAGGAAGGAAGGAAGGAAGGAAGGAAGG